CAGATAAACAGAAATCCTGAGTGTGCATAAATCACTTTTCCAACCACAGAATTTCACAGTGATTCAGTCTGTGCAAGTCCAAAGTGTTGCCCTGCGGGGGTTAAATGATGGGTGCCAGGCAGAGCGCACCCCAAGCAGGAGTGTGGCAAGGACAGGTTGCAGGCTTGGCTCTGCCTGGGGCAAGCTCCCTGGAAGGGCTTGAAAACACATGCATGCCCATGTTGCACTCATGTTTGGGGTACGTGACACTCCATGAGGAGTCACAGTGGCAGCCGGTGACACCCCCTCAGTCCGGGGCTGCTCTGGTTTTTGACTGACCCTCTGGCAGGACCAGTCGGGCTCCATCTCTGCTGGAAGGGTGGCTGCTGTCACCCTGGGTCTGGAAGAAATATGATGGATAAAAAGAAATGTTAGGCTTGGGGAGGCCCTGGTGACACAGCAGAAGCAAAAACATTCTGACAGCTGGGTCTCACCTGACTTTCAACAGGTCTGCATTTACATTTTATTTATTCGTTTAACAGAAAACAAGTAATTAGCTGTAAGATAGATCATAAAACAGCAGTAATATAACATAGATCATACTTGATGTAACACTTACTGTCAGAAAAAACTCTGCGTACATAAGCCTACAAGATACCATGCATGGAGAGTAAGCACGAGATTGCTCCCCAGGTGCTGCTCCCAGGGAACTCCCAAAATTCTGGCAGCAAGTGATTTTTATGGTTTAGTTCACATTCTTCCTTTCCCTGTAAACAACTTGGTCTCAATGTAAACTGTCAGGAAATGCTATGATGGGACAAATGCTCAGGGCTGTGCAGAGGCCATGCCAAGCTTGGCTCCAGGGGTGACCGGGACCTGGAGCTACCTCCGCACGGCTGCCAGTTGCCAGGGCGGAAGGGCATGCAGCCACGGGGCTCCTCTGTGCAAGGCTCTTCGGTGGTCTCAGTCCAGGACAGTCTAGGACATGCAGCAGCATCCAGGACAGGTACTCATCCCGCACACTTGTTTTTACTCTTGGTTTCCCCATGTTTGACTAAAGACCTGTCTGTCCCGAGCAGGAGCAAACCTCCATGTATGTGGCCACTCGGTTCTTTTGTAGGTTGAGGTCTGCTGTGAGGGGCGAGTGGACTTTAAGCCCTTCTAGGGAAGCAGGGTGAAAAATCAGGAGTAGATCTATAGCTGCTAATTTTACCTCTTAAATTGCACACGAAAACAAATAACTCAGTGCAGTGACATCCGTGGGCTTACTTAGAGGTTAATATCAAAGTCATATTACTCTTTTTCAGCTTCCTTCTCCAACTTTCAATCTGCAGTTGATTTTTTTATTTTTTTACAAAACACAGGAATGTCCCAGAAGCACTTCTGGGATTGCAGTAAGAATCAGGTAGGGACAGTGGGGCTCGGTATATTATCTTCATTTTAAAAATGTTTTATCAATTACAGAGCTGAAAATACATATTTTTTAAAAGTCCTGAAGTGTAGAACCCCTTTTCTGCAGCAGATCCCCTTACCAGGGAACTGTGATATATGTCACACCTCAGTTTATTGAATGGACAATCGATGCCTGAACTTTTAGAGCGTTTTCTATTGCCTGTACAGCAGCAGGCAGCTGCGGGAAGGGCAGACTGCCTTGCATGTCGTTTGCCTGCCGAACGAGGAGCCTCCAACTGCTACAGCTGGGTGGCTGTGTGGGAAGAGAGTCCCCTTCCCGATCTGCTCGCTTTCCCTCGTGTAACGCTTGATGTCCTGCGGGATCTGCAGAAATGGGATGCGTCTGATATCCGGCGTCAGGACTGTTAGAGAAACTGCTTGTGGGACACTGCAAGGGCAACACCCATAGCGGTATATTTAAAACCCACACCTCTTCTGCTAACTGGACCATTCCAGGAGACACAGGTTTCATTTCTTCATTTCTCTGACACCAAGGCCATTAATTTCCCAACTGCTTTCTGTGGCAGTCCTAGTTTACGCCAGTCCTGCCTTTCCTGGATCAGCCCTTCCCTTGGCTAGCAAAGTGCCTGTACGACAGTGACGGATTAGAGCAGCCACCAGAACTGGGTTAAAATGAAGCCTGAAGAAAAAAACTCCAAAGGTTCATTTTAACCTGGATCAGTTTCTCAGTCCTGTGCTCCGCATTGTCAGGGAAAGTAAAAAAGTGATACAACGGGAGAGGGAAGAGCAAATGATGTGTGAAACGACAGCCTAAACTATAAATGGATGGAGATGACCAGTCTCAGTCACTCGGCTTTAGACAATATAAAAATCCTCTTCAGGCCTTCAAGTATTTTTATAGCCTTAAATCGCTGTTTCTTCTCTCTCTGAAACAATCTCCAAAAATGGAGAGTGGCAACAGTCACACATCCCAGAGAAGAACATGAGACCAGTACTGTATGCGCGTGGGGCCAGCAGCTCTCGCCCAAGCACCCAGCCTTGTCGCCAGCTCCCCAGGCTGCCCAGGAGACCCTGGACACCCATCCAAATGACCATCTCATTTTATTTTCCTGACTTCTTGCAGTCTGTGGAGACCGGAGCAGGACTCTGCTCTGCTCAAAAGAGTGAGGATTTAGAGGCTGTGCCGGGTAATCCTGGGAGGTGTGTGCCCTGGCTCGCACACACTGCTTGAACTGGAGCGGATTTATTCCACCCTGAATTCCTGCATTCAGGAATGATGCTGGCACTGCCAGCCAGCCCTTCACTCCCTGCATTCCCCTTCTGCATCATCTGCTGTCTGATTTCTGGTGGGAGAAGGGCCAAGGATGGTGGTTCTAGGCCCACTGCGGGTACATTTTCACCTTTGGTAGCTGATTTTGACTATTTGATTGGAAAACAAAAGGAAGTGCTAAGCTGTCACCTCCAAAGTGTCCTGGCCAAGTGGTCCAGGTTACCAAGGCTACTGAGTACAGGTATCGCTGCTGGGAGCTGCTCCTTGTGTGTGCTGACAGCTGGGGATATCTTCTGAAAGGTATCGCTGGGGATTCCTG